TTTAAGGAATAATTGTAGTTGAGGCCTCAAACTTTTCAAACAGTGGTAGACTTTTTCCTAACCTTTCAATCGTTATATCCGTCACTCCAAATCTTTCAAATTGTAATAGTTGAGGCCCCAATGGACGATTTCCATCTAATCTATCGTTAGTTGACCCATAAAATTAATTTTGACCACATTTTAATCAATTTTAAAATGACAAAATTTTAATTTAATATTGTTCCCAAAAAATAATGAAAAACTGAAATCAAAAACAAAAAAAGAAAAAAATAATAAAAAGGAAAAACCACCCCACCCCACCCCACCCCCACCCCACCCAAAACTAGAAATTTTGCCACCGTAGCTTACCGCCATCGACCAGCATTGCTGGCGTCTCCATCTCCATCCCCATCGACCACCACCGCCACCGCATTTGAAAGGTTCGTAGTTATCCCACTTGCATTTGAAAACATAGATTCGCACGGAGAATCTCCATGTCATCCAACCACCGTCTACCGCCTGCCGTCCCTCACCTCCACCTCCACCTCCACCTCAACCTTACCACCCTATCCACTACCCTATTTGTACGGTACCTACACGGTCGCCTTCCCACTTTCACCTTAAATTGAAAAATTATATAAACTCACCAGCTCCCTCAAAATATTAGGATCATGTCTTTTTACCTATTCTTCTTTTACACTGTATATAATATTACATACCCGCATGTATATATAAAGAGGAATAAAGTCTGTTTTTATCATTGAATAATTTAAATTCTTGAAAATGCTAGTCTGGTAGGGGGAAAAAATATAGCAAAAACAAGGAAAGCAAGCAAGAGGATTCTATAGCAATCAAGAATGGAAAGAAAGGGGACAGAAAATAAGAACAAGGGTGAACAGCTAAGAAACTTATAAAGGAGTAGCAAAGATTTTTCAAGATTCGATTCAACCCCATCGTCTTTGGATAGAGGACACTCACTGCCTACCCCTTCTTCAACGTCAAATGAAAATAATATCACGGAGTTTGAATTCGGGTTCGGAACTGGGTCCAATTTTGATTCAAGTGGTCGATGGAGATGATAGTAGGCGTGGCGGAGGCAAATTTCTAATTTTGGGTTGAGGGGGTTGGGTTGGGTTAGGTTGGGGTGGGGTGGGG